CCTCCTCCTCCTCCTCCTCCTCCTCCTTCCTCTTGCGCGTCGTCTTGGCAACCACACGCGGCAAGATGGCATCCCCGCACGTCCTCTACTACTGTCCCTGCAGTCCGCACAACCCGAACGACGCCTCTTCGTCTTCCGCTGGCGGCAGCCGCCAAACATCCTCGCTCGCCTCACCGCCACCCGGCCTACCCGCATCGTCGCCCGCATCCAGCCATGCCTTTCATCCGCTCGAGTCGCTCTACTTTTGCGACGAATGCAACCACATACGCTGCAATCGCTGCGTCACCCTCGACATCTCCTCCTACTACTGTCCGAACTGCCTCTTCGAAGTGCCCGGTGCGAGCGTAAAGGCGGAGAAGAACAGATGCGCGCGCAACTGCTTCGTCTGCCCCTGCTGCCAACACACCCTCTCCGTGCTCGCCTCGGACGCACAGAACGCTCGCGACCTTGACCCGACCGATCCAGTCGCAAGCCAGGGCGCCTCTCCGTACTACCTCGGCTGCTCCTTCTGTCGCTGGGACTCCAGACCCATCGGACTCGTATTCGACAAACCCACCGGTCTCAGCCTTCAACTTCAGCGCTCAGAGGAAAACGCGCCCGACGTGCTCGAGTTCGACAGGCTCAAGGATCACTTCGACCCCTACCTCAAAACACAAACTCAAGCCGCAATCGCTTCAGCAGCAGTAGGATCTTCCTCCGGCTCCCGCTCTCGATCGTCTCAATCCACCGCCGCCACTGCAACAGCCACGGAGTCAACATCGTCCTCCGACCCTGCTCGCTCCAGCCGCACTTCACGCGTTACCGCTGCCCGCAATGCTGCGACAGCCGCCCTCTCCTCCTCCAGACTCCTCCGCGACCTGCCACAGCTCGCAAACTCGCGCAATCCTCACGCCCTCTCTTCCGCCGCTCGCTCGGCTCCCATCGAACCCGACGAGCTCAAGACCTACCGCGCTCTCAATCCATGGCAGGCCCCTGCCGACTCACGCAGATCTTCGTCCGCCAGCAGCTCATCGATGGGCGTAGTCGCAAAGCGCGAAAAGCATCGCCGAGACTATCTCGCGCGCATCCAATCCGCTCCCAACCAACCCATCACCTCCCTCGACGACAAGATCGCCTCCCTTCAACAGCGCTGGTCCTCCGCATCCATCGCAGATCAACCCATCCGCGCAGCCGACCTGCGTCCCACACGCGTGCCGCTCAAGTCAAAGCTCTCCAAGAGATGTCCCGCCTGTCGTCACATCGTCATCAAACCCGACATCAAGGCCGCTTCCAACCGCTTCAAAATCAAGCTCGTCGCTCTCAACTTTCTCCCAGAGATTCAGCTGGCACTCGCGCCGCAACAGCCCCACCTTGATCCCCTCCGCTTCCGTTCCTCAGCTACCTCCGGCCAACCTTTCACACCCGCCGGATCTCTCAGAAGGAGACCCCTTTCAGTGCTAGGCGCGGCCACAGCATCCGCACCTTCCGATCCACTCGCCCCCGCAGCCTCTTCCATCACCGCAACCTCCCACGACGTCGACGTCAACAATCTCATCCCCGGACACACCTACAGCTTCCAGATCAACATCACCAACCCTCTCGACGACCCCATCGAGGCCCACTTCAACTTTGTCCGATTCGCCCCTCCTGATCGCGCCAACAAGTCTTCCTCCACCAATGCCCATCGCCAGAGCACCGTACAGACTCTTCCGGAGCCGCGCTATATCTTTAGCTCTCCACACCACCCTTCAAAAGACCAGTCGACACCCCAAGCAGAGCCCAAACAAACTTCCGCCAAGCCGTCCCGGCGCCCACGCCTCGGCTGGCAGGTGTACCCTTCAGCCTACTCCGTACCTCTCAACGCCTTCAACGAGGTATGGGAGCTCGAAGAGTCCGACGACCTCATTGCATCCAAGTCTGGCACCGACACTGCTCAGAACGCCAACAGCGCCCAGATAAACGACGCCACTCACAGGCACTACGCGGTCAAGACGGCTATCATCCGCGGATCGGGCACAGACCCCAACGACTCTTCCGCCTGGGCCATCGAGGACGACGAGCAGGACGACGACGACGATGACGGCTACGATGACACCGACGACGACGACGCAGACACAGACAATGCCGATTCCGCACTTTCCAACATCCAGGAAGAGCAGGATTCGACCGCTTCCCCTCCTCACAACTCTGCACAGACTGCACGCCGACAGCGGGCTTCACTACTACCTTCGGCACGTCGTCGACGTCGTCCTCGCCAAGCTTCCTCCGCAGCTACCAACCAACGCCCACCCTTTATTCAAAAGGGACACACCACCACGCTCTTCCTCGACCTGGCCATCTCGTCCAACGATGCGCCTGCGCCGGGTCCCATCGAGCTCGGCATGCACGTCACCTACCGATACACAGCCGCAGCCGCCGAGCCTGCTGAGCCGCCGCCCACTGGCAAAGACTCTTCCTTCTGGACATCCCTGCGCCTCGGCACCATCGTTGGCGCGAGTCTGTTGTAGCCCTTTGCTGCAAAGAACCCTGATGCACGAATTTCATGATGTGCCGCTCGATCCAATCCAATGCTAAGCGGTCAGCGGTCACGGCTCATGAGCAGAGATGCCGTCTGATTCGCCATGACAATGGAGCTTTGCACTACACTCGTTCTGATTGTGATGAACAAGGCGCTCTGTTCTCCGAGCAGCTACGGAAGAAGAAGGAGACCTTGGTATCCTTTTGCCAGCTTGCAATCTGGTGTCGCAGCAAAGCAGCGTGGAGCCATTGTTTGGATCAGAGGGTCTCCGCTTATCGAGAAGGCTGACTTTGGGCACCGTGGCCCGCTAATTTCGTGGCTCTTTTTTCAGCCGCTTTTTTTTGTTGCAATGATGATTCGGGCAGAGAAATACCAGACCCCGTCGGTCAGCAATCGTGAATATTTGTCGGGCTAACTACAAGAGTCAAAGAGTGCGGCCGTTATGCCTTCAGGTGACAAGGAGTCGATCCCTGAGCACCAGCGCGCATCCGTCATCTCATGGAGGCAAGCGGAGAGTTAAACGTCTTCTTCCGCAAAGTACTCAAGGTTTCCATCTTTGATATCGACTCGAATCGCTTGATGATGCAAGAAAACCTATTCTTCTCAGTGTTGCTTTTGCAGTATGACAGTGGTAGAATGAAAGTAGTGGGATGGACGCTATTGCGGAAATGCCAGGAGGCGCAAGAAGAAGCAGGGTCTGCTTGTGGTGTCTTGTTGCACGCTTGTGGCAAGCGCGGCCCCTCCCTTTTCGCCCAAGAAGACAGGCTGAAGGCCAGCTCGCTATCGATTCAGGCAGCGTCTTGGAACCACAACAAGTTGGGAAACGCGTAGCCGTCTTAGCTATCTTCAACAAGTTCCAATGCTCTCGTTGTTGCAAACGCACGATTTGGGGGCGTAGTTATTCCCCTGAATCACGCCGCTCCTCCAAATATTGCACCCGCCCAGTGTACCCCAGCATTGATGGATGATTGGCAGCGCGTACGAAGCGGCTTCGCGAATGCTGAAGCAGGTTGCAGCCAGCCTGGCCCTCTTTGCCACTATGGCGCACGAATGCTGAATGCCGTAGACTCGGTCTGCTTCGTCCCAATCGTTACAGAATTCGTCCGTCATCGCCCAGTAGAGCGAGTCGCAATCCCTCAGAAGAGCGCCATGATTGTTGTGGCATACGGCAGTAGCAGCCCCTTGGGGTAGCGGCGGAAGATCGAAGCAGTCTTGTAGCTCCATATCTCCCACGTCTCGCGTCTTGAGGTCAGCAGCGTCGCGATTCTGCGCGGATGCTACGGCATCCAATTCGACCCTTGCGGCTCCTTCCACCATGACGATTCTGTAATGGTTCTGCTCGACCGACTCTCTGCTGAGATTCAGCTTCGTAGTGAGGTAGCTCGGAATACCACGCCGCATCCATATGAAGTCGACGTGCGGTCCCGTGCCATTTGCGTTGGCCAAGTCGGCGTAGATTTTGGTTCCTTCGGGTACCTCGTGACCCGCTTTGCTGAGAGGCACATAGCCGTGCAGACCGAAGACTGCAGGCGGCGGTAGGATGCCATTGAAGAGAGCGTGATTATGTTTGACGTTGCTATCGGCAGATGCCACGGCTAGCACTACGGTGTAGAGGAGTGTGGCCATGATGGAAAGCGGCAACATTGTAGAAGGCGAAAGGCGATGTTATGCAGACAGGCCGTAGGACGTTTGAGAAGACTATTGCCTGAGTCCCGAGCGCAGGATGGAACGACGAAGGTTGGTGTTTGTAGCCGCGGGCCACAAGATTGCCCACACCTCTGCGCAAACGAAGTGCCTTGTTGAGAAGGAGTGGAACGATGTGACTCGAAGCCGCATGGATCTTTCACCGAACGCCCTCATCTCTCTCCAGAGCACTTGTTTTGACACTCGACATCGATCATGAAGCTGCATTGCAATGTCGCTTCATACGTTAGGCTTTCAATTTCGGGCCGCCATCATCTGACGGCCATCTTGTGCTATCGAAGGTCGAGGCTGTCGTAGAGGCATGCGAAAGCGGGGCACCTGCATGAATCAAGGACCAACGGTTCGTATCATACGATGTGATACCGCACGATTGCCGGTACCTTGTGATGAAGATACCCGCAGGTGTCGGGTGGGACGGAATTGCAGCCATGAAACGATACAGTACGATGCGAATGAGCGGGTCGATCGGCGATCAAGCATGTTCTGGATGCAATGAAGGCTAGCCGTTGACAGCCATTAGGGATACCGGTATCATGCAGCCGTCACATGAAGTGTCCCACATCGATGACGTGCTCAAGTACTCAAATGAAACGGCTTTGAGCGCGATTTGCCGACGCTCATGATCTCCGCCTTCAATGCCCGTCTTTCATGTGGACGGACGGACCGTCGGTGTCAATGGAAGAAGGTCTTATGCGTTCACTCACGAGCTTAATCCTCACAGGAAGCGATGGGCCGGAAAGCACATAACACTATGAACAATTAAACAGTTCGAAGGCAAACAGCCGGCTCGGACCGAATTCGTCACAAGAGCTGCGAGGGTAACAGCTCGCCAAGTCCGAGTGCAGCAGCCTATTACTGTAGACAGGCTTGCCTTAGCCGCAATCTCTCTGACCGGCCCACCAAAGGCAAACCCCAAGGAGGTAGATGCGCTGAGCCATGTACAAATGTAAGAATACAGTACTACGTCGTCACCCAAGCTGCAGAACACACGCAGTTTGGCAAGAAATAGAGAGAGATCCTTCCATTCACAATTCCGGAGTCCATGTGGGTCAGGTGAAAGTGCTCGTTGTGCCTGAACACATCGGCTGCAATGGCAGGCACAGATCCAAAGCGTAAGACGCTAGAAGGATTGGCAACAAAACTGCTACGCATTATCCTGTCAGCGATGAGCGGCCAAGTGCAACCTCACCCGCTCACTTGTACGCTGACTGAGCCTTGACCCGCAAAAGCCTCGGTGGCGAAGACTTGGTAGTTGAAATCTGGGTTGGCGGCGCCATTGGCAAAGCCATACTTCTTCCAGGCGTTGAAGTGGTTGGCGAGCGTGACACTGCCCGAGCTGCGCTTGCTCTGGCGAACGGAGAAGTATTGACCGAAGGTCTTGGTACCTTGGATCGAAGGCTGGTTGACCTGCGTGTGCTTGCAGATCTTGTAGCCCGATCCGTCCGAGGTGACGGTGCCCACTTGCTGCGTGTTGCTGGCGGTGCACGGGTCGTAACTGTAATTCTCGACGACGTAGTACTCGGTCAAGGGACTGTTGAGCCAGCCATAGACAGCGTAGTACGAGCCTTGGTTGCTCTGGTAGTTGCCGCCGAAATTGATAATACGCGACGATGTGCCCTGGCTCCAGCCTAGGCCAATGACAAAGTCGAACGGGTTGTTCCAGCTGCCGGAGTACGTGCCAGCACCCTCATTGTACTTGAAATTGGCCAGGTTACCATTGTAGTTTTGTACATAGTTGATGGACTGGCGCTTGAAGAGGCTCCCAGCGTCCTTATCGGCTTCGAGGGCCGATGCGATCGGGCTGGAAACAGCAACACCAGCAACACTGGCGAAAGCGAGAAGAGCGGAAAGCTTCATGATGGGAAGTGGGGAGGGGGATGGCTGCGGGCGCGTACGTTCGTATGTGTGCCTATATCAGTGAGCTCGGTAGAATGGAAGTCTCTGCAATCAACAGACCGGATCGAGGTCTACTTATAGCTTTATGATCGAAGCTCGCTCTTGCCACGGTAGCTGACATTCATCTTCGATGTGGAAGACGAGGCCAAAGAGACTGGGGCAGAAGTTGAGTGTGAAGTTGAAGCTGGCCGTTGCCGGTGACAGTGCAAGCAAGGAATGGTACTGATGCTCCATCGCGTAACACATTTAGAGCCGAGAACATCGCCGGTGCATGTAGCGAGCCACGTGCAGGCGAGCACGAAGCTACAGGAGGCGAGGCAGGACCGTTGCCTTTAGCAAAGCGGTTGCAGGTCGCCTGCAGGTCGCGCAGTGTCGTCTTCGGTATTGGTCCCGCGGGGCTTTGGCTAGTATGCTCTTTAATCGCAAGCGGATGTGATACGCCTGCCCGAGATGACACGTTTGGATTCCAGAGTGCCATTTGGAATGCCTGGCTTTGCGGCTTATGGTCACCGGTGTCAAGGGGTGCTTCATGCTCGGTCAGGAGGCTCGTCTGCCTCGGCTTGCACAAGCGCTCTACTGTCCTGCTGGAGTGGGCGTGAGATTGCCGAGCAAGCTGGTCGCCGGCTCGCATGGCTTCCATTTTGCGGGGTCGGAGCGGTTCGCTTCTAGAAGCCGGCATTCTCGGTCTTCCCGCTCCTTGACGGCAATGCAAACGCATTTTGCTAATGCCGGTTGGCATGTCAACCCATTGTTAGCGGCAGGTTGTACTCAGATCGAGACAACTTTGCAGCCACAAGGCGCCTCCTAGTTGGCGTTCAAACGAACCTTGACCAGCACTGAGACAAGCGTGCGTGGGCCCTGATGGACAGCTGAGTCGAATGATGGAAGGCCAGCAGCAATTTCAAGCCCGGCTCGCCGCCCCAGCGCTGGATGCAGGGCCTGATCAATATTTTATATTAATCGGCGCTAGCCCAATTCGGAAGGAAGGGTTTAGCGAAGCGGCCGGCGGGTTGCGCTCCGGCGAGTCGTCAGTGCACACCGGTCCGGTAGACACGGACCGGCGAAGTTCACGTTGCTTCCCACGCAACGCTCGTCGAAGCAGCGAAACGGTCGCAGCAGCGGCGACGACCCGAGCAAGAGCGACCCGGACCTTTCCGTCCACAGTATGCAGCGATCACGTCTTATCTCGTGCGGCTTCGCTGCCATCGGTCGCTGGTGGGGAGACAGGGTTGCTTGAGGCCCCGAATTTCCACGTGCTGTCGGTGTTACACCAGCCAGCTCATTGCCATACAGTCCAGGTGCATGGGCTCGCCGGGCACATGGGCAGCACGCGGGTTCCCGGAAACCCATCACACAGCCCGCCACGTCCATGATGTCCAGGCCATACGTGTCGGTTTGACAACCAGCCTGATCTGAACGATGACAGCGACGGGCGCGGCAACGACTCGGAAGCAAGTTTCCAAAATGTCAGCAGCATGAAGAAGCGAGTGGCGTGCTGCGCGATCCCTTTCAACGCAAGTGAGAGAGGAAGGACTAAGTTGTTGACGATACACGCAGGGCCCTCAGTGAGGGCGAGCCTCCTTGATCAGCATGTCGTCGAAGGGGGCGGGGCGTGTGGAAGAACTGAGGTGGATCGCACAAAGACTGATCTGGCACAGTCGTCTGCCGGAGCGGTCGGCTTTCGGAATCAAAACGTCGCGACGCATCTCCTGTCCAGGCCTCGTCATCGTATTACCACGAGGCTTGCCGTTTGAAGATCATGTGGCTGGCTGTGTGACACGCGCGGAAATTTCATGCACCTTCCACGTGGGTGAAAAGACTTGGTCGCGACCGCGTGCTTATCCAACGTGGTCTGCATCGCCGCCGTCGCCGCCGGCACCGCCACACGTTGGAAGGCAGACCCTGTCTCACTGTAACATGCGCCAGCCATTGCTGCCTCGCAAGATGATCTCCATCTGACTCGACTCACGAAAACATGCTTCAGGCGCGCGGTCTGGTCCAGTAAGCGCGACGGTCGGCCCATTCTTCTTCACTCCGCAAGAGCTGCGAAGCGCGACAGCGCGCATGCGAGACAATCATGATGCAAGGCCGCCGCTACCTCAAAGCTCGCAGCATTCGTCGGGCTGATGAGACCGCATAGCATATATATTGGCAAAGGAGCCTCATCACGACTTCCATCGACTTCAACCTCAGATTTGGAACGTTCATTCTATACCTTACACAGGAATCACGATGCTGCTCCTAGTAGCTCAAAGTTTCCTGGTCATCGTGCTTGTTCGAGCTCGATTGACTGGGGCCGCAAACGCTTCTCTGGCCGAGCTCTGCAAGGTCGACAGCCTGCGCAATGTCCTTCCAACAAACGGCACCCTGCTCGGCATCAACTTTCTTCCCGAATCCCTTACTGCGCAAGTCACCAACACGTCCGTAGGCTCTGGCACAGCGGCAGGACCCAGTGTCTCTGTCGCTTCTGACACATACAGCTACTGCAACCTTACGCTCCATTACGTCCATGCCGGCACTGAAAATCGCACCATCCGGCTTCGATTCGCTCTCCCAGCACCTTCAGAGTACAAAAGCCGCTTCTATGTGGGCGGGGGAGGTGGCTACAGCCTTTCGAGCGACGCAACGGGAGGTCTCGCCTATGGGGCTGCTTCGGGGGCCACAGATGCTGGTTACGACGCATTCGACAAATCGCTCGATCAGGTGGTACTCTTGGCCAACGGAACGCTGGACTGGGACTCAGTGCGCATGTTCTCGCATCAGGCTCTCGGCGAGATGACTCTGATTGCCAAGCAGATACTTCCTTCTCTGTACGGCAGCGACACGGACTCGAGCAAAGTCTGGACCTACTTCTCCGGATGCTCGGACGGCGGTCGGCAGGCCATGAGCCAGGTACAGCGCTGGGGTGATTTGTACGACGGCGTCGTCGCTGGAGCCCCCGCTTTCCGACAAGGCCAACAGCAGATACTGCACCTTTATCCCGCGGCGATCGAGCAACAACGCGGCTATTTCCCCCCGCCTTGCGCGCTTCAGAAGATCGTCAATGCGACTATCGAAGCCTGCGACCCGCTCGATGGCCGCACGGACGGCGTCATCTCGAGGACCGACCTCTGCATGAGCAGGTTTGACCTGAATTCGACAGTAGGCAAGGCCTACTACTGTGCTGCCGAGACTTCCACATCTCTGGGCTTCGGATTTGGCCGCCGACAGCTGGCCGCGGGCAGTCAGACAGACAGCCTGCCGGAGCAGAACGGCACAGTAACGGTGAACGACGTCATGATTGCCCGCGCCGTGTACGAAGGTGTCTTCACCTCGAGTGGCAAGAGGGCGTATCTATCCTGGCAGATTGGGTCCGATCTCGGAGACGCGGAGCCCACATATGACAACGCGACCTCGTCCTGGGTGCTAAACATCCCGAGCACCGGCGGCGTCTTCGTGCGCAAGTTCCTCGAGCGTCTCGAATTGGACAATCTCGATGACGAGGCATTTGTCAATATCACCAACGATCAACTCGTTGCCTGGATGGACAAAGGCACCCGCGAATACTACGACACGCTCCAGACGACCTGGCCGGATCTCTCCACCTTTGCAAATCACGGCGGGAAGTTGATCCACTACCACGGTGAATCCGACAACAGCGTTCCTGCTGCCTCGTCGGTTCATTACCGTCAGTCTGTTGCAAGCTCGATGCATGCAGACCTGGACGCTTCTCAGCAAGAGGAGCGCCTAGATGAATGGTATCGACTCTTCCTCGTTCCTGGTGGAGCCCATTGCAGCGCCAACTCGTTGCAGCCCAATGGGCCATTCCCACAGGCAGCAAGCCTGATGCATCAGATCATCGACTGGGTCGAGCGCGACATCGCACCGGCCGGACTCAACGCTACTGTCACCCAGGGAGGTTCGGATGAGGGCAAGTCTGTCAGCCTCTGCCGATGGCCGTACCGCCCTGTTTGGTCAAGCGAGAACGCAACTGACATTAACGCGATGGGATGCGAGATGCCGGACACCGAGGCCCGCAAATCGTGGACCTATGCCTTTGAAGCTTTTGGGTATGCTGTCTATTAACTCAAGATAAGGTGCCCGGAAACTTCAGACGCCAGACTTCAAGAATGTCCGAATCGGCGAACCAATGGCTGCTCGAAAGGCTACGCTGAGAGTACTCTTCGCATCCCCGTGCCGAACAGTCCCCAAGCTAGCTATCCAGGATGAACTTTGATTGAAATCTGCATACTACCGCTTTCCTTGGTTCGCTTTTAGTCCTGAAAGGACTGGGCTGTATTTTGACATGGTGTTCCTGGTGCCATGCCGTTGTTTGTTGCCGTACGCGACAAACATGCGCGCCGTGAACGGGCAGTCTATGCTCTGTCGTCCGTTGCTAGAAAAATCTATTGGTCTCGACGTTGTCGACCCTCGATGTAGTCGCTAACGAGCTTGTGCAAAGCTACGATGGACGCAGAGATGATCCCAGCAGTAACCAGATTCGACCGAACAAATACTATGAATGGCTGACACTGTGTTGCACAGTTGCCATCTGAGTCGAGGACAATGTATTGGGCCACCGACCATCCGGTGCAAGCAGGGCATGGATCGGAGGGTCGGGGCTCGTTGGCTGCAGCAATCTGAGTAGCAAAAGCCAGATATAGAAAGGCACGAAGTTTAACGCCCATACCGACAGCGGTACAAAGGCGATTGTCAACAGACCGAAGGCGAGGAGAGGCAAGGAGCGCCAGTAGGAAGCAGCGAGCCCAAATCCCACAGCGAGCGTGATCGAGCTGTTCTTGACAAGCGCAATTGACTTTGTGTCGAACTGCATAGAGATTTGAGCGTTCAGGGAGCAACCACCAGGTCCTTCTCTGGACCGTGCAGTCCGATCCAAGGGTGGCTTGGTTTACGCTGCCGAGCCCGACGGTAGCTATCGTATGTGAGTTTGCAAGCCGTCACGACGATCGAAGCCGGTAGGATCTTCTTTGCTTGGCCGTCTGATTGCTGTTGTGCAGTCTGGAAAGAGGAGTGGGGGGAGAACGAAGCCTGAGGACGTGCACACTCGGTTGGGTGAGCTGAGTCGCACAACGAGATTGACTGACAACCGGCACGTGCCAGATGATACGCGGATGGCCTCGTTGAGATGATCTAGGCACATGCAACACTTGCGTTCGACAATCGGAGTATGCTCATCCGGGCGCTGTCGGTGAGTCGAGGTCCGAGCGTCACGCAAAGCGCTGATCCAAGTCCGATCCCTCTGCTGTGAGGATGACAGGCACTGCAACGGCGAAAAATTTGAGCAAATATGGGCGCCCCTTTGTCGTGCAGTCAGCGGATGTCGGAGTGACTAAAGAGTCGGAGAGGATTGGTGTGTGATGTCGCAAGGGCAAGAATGCTTGATCGGTAGAATGAGGAGCAAAGGAAGTGCAGACACACAAGATGCTTTACCCGGGCGGTAAAGCTGAAAAAATAGGGAACTCTGCTGAAATATCTCTGTTAGAGCTTACGTTTGTGGCGCAACGGCGAAGGGGTCACACTGACGCCTTGGGTGGGGGGTCAGTTTCAGGGCCGACATGCGTTCCTGCCTCTTCGGGTGGCAGTTCACCCGTGAAGTGGATGAGAATGGAGCACGCTGGGTGTGGGTGGAAAAGAGGGATCGGCTAGGCAACGGCTCACGTCGGTGCGCTCGACACGCTTGACCATGACTACAAAACCCTAAACGGCGACTGTGATTCTCAACCTTTATCCGTGCAACATCATTGTCACCGTCGTGATCTGGCCTTCATCTCCTTTGACCTTCCACGATAATTGACGATCATCATGCGCATCGTCTTGTTCGGTGGTACAGGCATGATCGGACAGGGCGTGCTACGCGAGTGTCTGCAGTCCTCGGATGTCCTCTCTGTCCTCTCCGTCGGTCGACGCCGCATTCCTGACAATCTTCTCTCGATGCATCATGACTTGTCCCTGGACAAGAAATTGCAGCAAGTACAGAGCGATAATTTCGCCGCCATCGACTGGTCAAAATACGGCGAGTTTGATGCCTGCTTCTGGTGCGTCGGCGTCTCTTCGGTTGGCATCTCAGATCACGAGTACACCAAGGTCATGCGTGACCTTTGCTTCGATACGATTCAACATCTTGGCAAGTCTGCCAGACGCCCGCCCGCTCTTGTCTACATCAGCGCCTTTGGGGCGGATTCTACCCAACAGTCGTCTACACACTGGAAGCGCGTGCGCGGCGAGACCGAGCAGCTGCTGCTCGACCGTGCCCAGAATAGCGGTGACACCAGCAAGCCGTTTCGCGATGTGTACATTTTCAGACCGGCTTTCGTCCAGCCACTCGACAATGTACGCTCCAGCGTCGCATGGTACAACTGGGTTTATCGGAGCCTTAGCTTGATCACACCTTTACTGCAGTCCGTACTGCCCGGCATGACGTCCACGCGCAACATCGGCAGGGCCTGTGTCCATCTGGCCTGGCAAACGTCTTATCGCTCTGGAATTCTCACTTCGCGCGAAATCAATCGGTTCGCCGAGAAACAGGCATAATACACCAAGGCATTGCTAGCTGTTGCACTTCCACGTTCGCGCATGATCTTGCACGTAAGCTAAGCGTCGACCGTATCGTTGCTGAAGACTGTGGATGGGGGTTGTTGTGCGAGCTCTGAGTGTGCAGTCGCCGGCGTCGCAACTAAGCAGCACCAGCACATGGGCATTCGACGGTGATGACTCCCATCAAGGTGGCAGTCTGACCAGAGATAGCGACGCCACGTGCCAAACTTTGGGCCCTGGCGTCTGAAGACCCCGGGTGCCCTGGATTGCCAGGAAGTCGTAGGTCAACAAACGGTATCCTGGCTCGGCACAGTTCGACAATTGCCAAGAATCATCAGCCTCCACATCATCAGCCTCCACAACATCAGCCTCCACAATCAATCTGCGTTCGCCGGACCTGTCAAAATTGCTGGCCGACGCTTCCCGCGTTGTGACTGGCTGGATGTCCTTGGCACCCTTCTTGCTTGTGACCCCACGCCTTGCACGTGAGCGAAAAGGTTGCAGAAGTTGGGTATTTCTGCACCTTCCCGACCTCAGTCGGCATGCTGGCTCCGAGTCTCCAGCGAGCGGTGCCTACTTTTTAAAGGCGCTCTCGAGAGGCTTTTCAAGCGTGAGCAATACCAACCCCCCGGGGGGGG